AAAGAAATAATGTGATTCTTTGATGACAGTTTTCTGTAACTGTTTTCCTTGCTTTGAAGCAGACTATAGTTCTCCTCCAGTTGTGCCATTTTTGGGTCCATTTACTTTGTGTTGTCACAACAGGCAAACATTGTCACAACACTTGTATTGTCACAACCTCTTTGTCAAGCTGGACACTTGCTTGGCATGCAGGACTATTTTTATGGGAAACCTCTGAAACTACTGATGGTAGCACCTCCAGTGATGTGCCACCCATTTCCTCAAGGTTCACATGACCTCTGTTGGACTTTCTGTTGAGTTGGGGATATTTTCTTTTATCCCAGCATGTTCTTTTAGATGCTTGTACCATGAGCCTTAGCCTGGCATCAATTTTAGGCATGTATTTTCACAGTGAGGTCAATCATATAGTGCTTAGCTTCTGTGCTGCTTCAGGGTGTGCTTTCTCCACAGGTCTGAGCTGGCTTTAAAGCAAAGAAATCAGATGATTCTGCCAGTGCAAGTAGATCAAAGGGCTTTACCAGCTCTTTACTGCCCCAAGGATTGATAGAGGTGCATGTTTCCCCACAGACGGTTATGGCTTGGTGTGCTGAGTAATCTCTGTATCACTTCCCACACTTCCCACCCAGGCAGATTTCTAAACAAGATCAAAAATTATTTTGTAATGGAAAAATTAAATATTCTCTGACTGCAGTATCACAGGGATTAGTTTTGGTATAACTTGTTTTCTTCAAGATCTTATACTTGCTTTGGGTTTGAGTTTTTTCTAATTGGTGGCAGTGGTTTGTGGTTGTTGGAGTTGTTTTGACTGGAAGAGTTTGACAAGTGTGATACTAAACACTAGGTTGGTTTGATCAACATAACACACTATTCTGAAAAAAAAGTCAGTAGTTAAGATTAACAATGAAAGGACAAAAGCATACAAAAACTTAGCAGAAGACCTTAAAATCATATGTGCTTCAGGGGCTTCCAGATATATTTCAGATTCTGTAGTAACTGTCCTCACGATATTCCTTCTCTTTGACTGTCCCCAGGCTCCCCTGGGACATGCATCACAATCTAGAACCCACAGCATCCTGAGGCATGGATTTCCACAGCAGACCATTGCATTGGCTTCAAACTTGCCCCATCCCATTTCACTAAATGGCCCTTTTTTTCCTTTCTGTGGAAGACAGAGTGAGCAGAGATGTCTGCTGGCTATTTCCATAATTTTACAGATCTTTATTTGATCCTCCCAATGCCTCTTGTTTTTCCAAGTGCGAGGGTTCTTACTGAGTATCTGATATGTTTGGTTTTTAGCAGTAGGAAGATGGCACTGACCAACTATTGTGCTAAGAATTTCATCCTTTCCAAATCTAGTTTCTTGGAAATAAATTTATGGCTTACATCTTGCACATCCATGTATGAACACCTGGATACAAATCTCATTTTTCCACAATGTGAGTCACTTTCCTGTTTGACCTATGTTCTTTTCCCATCCTGTAGATCTGAGTGGGGGAAAAAAAAGTATTTAAACTAACTTTCCCATTTTTCTTGTTATTTGGTGAAGGGACAGAAGCAAAGGTTAAATCCTGTTTTGCTCATTAATATCTCAAATATTCAAATATTCAGGGTGCCCTCAGACTACCTACCAAATGGAACTCCTCTACCATTTTGGAAAGGTAACTGTTTGTGACTATCTGTATTCTTACAGCACAGACAGATGCACCTCAGAAAGACACTAAAGTTTTCCTTTAAACATGCCACAATCACAATAAAACTAGTTCCAGTCTTTTCCACCTCTCTTCAATCCAGTTTGTTTAAAGCAAGCACTTTATTTTTTTGGTGCCAGGACCCTTAGAAATTTGTAATTTAGCAGGAATACTTGGGAAAAAAGTTTTATGTAAGTAGATGAACAAAATATTGAGGAAGATTTATTAGCTTACTCATAGAAAAGTGCCTTAACAAATGCTCAAGTTAAGCATGTGCTTCAAATCCCACATTTTCAGTAAAGTACTGAGTTAGAGGACTGTTTAAGTGGAGGATGGCATGATGTCTAAAATCCTTGACAGGATGGTTTTGGTAGGATTTTTGTCATCCAGTCCAGTCTTCTACTGTTCCAAAACCTACTTACATAAACCAGGTACGCATATAGTCCCAACCTTCAGTGACTGAGATAAAGCTAAATGGAATGTGATACAGTGACCTGAAGGCAGAATGTCCTGATAGTTGATTCACACAGTCTTTAGGGAAAAAAAAAAAAAAAAAGGAAAAATAAAGAAAAGAAAAAAAGAGTATTTTTGTTATCATATTTCTCAGCCACAGCTTGTACAAAATCAGAGGGTAAAGGCATGCACACTGAGGCTGTCTGAATGCCAGTGAAATGGAAATGTGAGCAATATTCCAATTTAACTCCACAGAAATCCACTAGTTAGTAGGTAGTTCAAGTATTTTAGTGCCTGCTGTGTTGCTGCCTACAGGGAAAATACTCTAAGTGCTTTTCCTTTTTCAAAAAGAAAAGGAGTTTTCATCTGTCTTTTACGAGGCTTTTTTGTTGCATCCATTATACAGCATGACACAACCAGCCAAAGGATCTATTGTGGTTTCTATTACGTGTTTTAGGGACAACGTTTTTGTGGACAGTAGAATACATACATATATAAATGTGTGTATATATATGTGTGTGGATGTGTGTGTGTGCATACAAACTTACATATAAACATATGTGTATATATATAGATGCACTTATCAATCTAGGTCACTTAGCAGTGAAGATGTTTGTCCTTTATGCTGGCCTGTGGAGTGTCAAACATGGGATGTTAATGCCTACATATATGAAATCAAATATTTTTTCACCTGGCCAGTTTGACACAAAAGGGCAGAATTATCCTTATTCTAAGAATATTAGGCCATTAACTAGAACAGCTTTTAGAGCTACTTTATTCTGGTCCATATCTGACCAGCTATTTGAAGACAAAACAAAAAACAAATGCTGGCCTTCAGACTCCATGTATGCTGTTAGTATCACAGAATGAAAAAAAAAAAAAAGGCAAGAGATGTCCTTGAATAATATTGGGAATTTAACCCCATAACCATCTAATACCCTATTCACTTCAAGAATGGAAAGGGCTAATGCAGATTGGAGGATAGGAGTGATGATCCACAGGTTATAGTTTTATAGCAGAAGGATTTTTAAAGGTGCAGACAAATTCTGTATGCCTGTGTGTGCATAAATGAAAACTGTCTTCTGTGTGCAGAGACCACTGAGATGTCAAGGTGGGCACTGTTTGTCACATTTTAGTTGCTGCAAATTCTGATTTTCCTACTCTATAACAACTTCAGCAGATCTGTTAGAGCAAGAGGAGGGCCAACAGGATGGAGCACCTTTCCTAGGAAAAGGCTGAGAGAATTGGGATTGCTCAGCTTGAAAAAGAGAAGGTGTGACCTGATTGCAGCCTACCCATACGTGAAGGGAACCTACAAGAATCACAGAGAAGGACTTTTGACAAAAGCATGTAGAGACAGGACTAGGGGAAATGGCTTCAAACTGAAAGAAAGTAGCTTTAGATTAGATGTTAGGAGGAAATTCTTTACTGTGTGGGTGGTGAGGCACTAGAACAGGTTGCCTGAAAATTTTGGATGCTCTGGGAGTGTTCAAGGTCAGGCTGGATGGGGCCCTGAGCAGCCGGTTCTGGTGAAAGGTGACCCTGCCCTTGGCAGGTTGGTTGGAACAAGATGGTCTTTTAGATCCCTTCCAACCCAGACCATTCCATGATTCTAGGATTCTATTCTATGAGGATATATTTGTTCAGCAGTAGTCTTACATATTGCAGACAATGGAGACTGTGTGTGTAAATGTAGATATACGTGAATAATCAGAATGTAAGAGTGTAAGAGGTTTTACAGATGAGAAATAAAAAACATTGTTCCAGTAAAAACAGAGGCTGACTGCCTTCATTTATTACTCAGTATTTCTGTGTTGGTTGCAAAATCTAAAATGAGAAAAGACCTGGAGGACGAGGAACCTCGTCCAGGATGGGGATGGATGGATGGATGGATGGATGGATGGATGGATGGATGGATGGATGGATGGATGGATGGATGAGGAGAAATGCTCCCAAGAAGGTGCAGAAGGCTGACAAAAGCAAACAGTTTACCTGCTTAAGAGGAAGGTGTTGCAGGGGGAAAAACAGGTCATTCTCCTCTTGAAACACCTGAGAGTCTGCGCCTGCTGAAGGGAGCAACCTGGGCACAGGCAAGTGGCAATGAACAGGGCTGTAACAACTCAGCTGTGGGAAGGACTGTGCTGTCCTTGGCACCACTTGGTCACTCCAGCTTCAGGGACTTGGTAAGGGCCAGCTGCTGGCATGTGCTGGTGACTTGAGCGTTAAACACAGACAGCTGGAGGTTACCAATCCCATATACTTTGTATGTAAATCCCATGCAATCTCGCTGAAACATCTTCCCCCCATTGAGCCCAGGGAAAGCCTTACCACCAACCCTGCTGGGGAAAAATTAGGTCTGCAGACTGCTCTCTTCCTCCATGATGCCACCCCTGCTTTTGTGACACCTTGCTGTCACACGATTGCACCACACTATCCATGGTTTTGGTCCCAACATCTCAAATGCAAAATCACATCTTTGTCCCTTTAACTTCTCTCTCAGCTGTTATGCCTGTTTTCTCCCCTCCTCTGGGACTATGCACTGTTGCTGCTCCGGCTGCTGGGAGCAAGCAAGGAGAATTTCTCCTACTGGCAAGTAACCAGCCAGTCTGGGGCTGGCATCTTCCCAGGACACTGCTGTTTGCATACCAGCAGGCAGAGGAGCAGGTGAAATGGGACTGCTGACATCTGTACAGATGTGTTTGACTGCTTACATGCTGTTACGAATCTGCTACCCTTAAAGCCTCCGTTTCTCTGACGAGATCTCTCTCTCTCTCTCTCTCTCTCTCTCTCTCTCGCTCTCTCTCTTTTTTTTTTCTCCCCTCTCTCTCTCTCTCTTTCTCTCAAAATTATTTTTCCAAGGAGAAAAGGAAAAGGCAGACAGAAATAGAAGGCAAGAGACAACAGCTTGAGGACCAGATACTTCAGCTGCAGCATTTCAAGGTAAGGGACTGATGCCAGAAATGATGGATTGACTAAATCTGTTCATTATTAGACATGCAGATCACACGTCTGAAAGCTGGGAAAAGCCCACTCTGACATGAAGCAGCTTTCACTGCCGGAGCCTATCTCTCGCAGTGATCATGTCCTTCCTGCTTTTCATTCCGTGTGTTTCATGCACAGGACCATGTTGTTTAAATGGTTTAGGAGCATGGAATCCGGAGGGTGTGAGTGCAGGCAGCACAACAGTGCTGTTATTATTAAATGCTGCTATTTATTATACATAATGATAAGACACCAATCACTGTGGCTTGGGTGTGCACTGCATGGCTTCAACCAGCACTTTCTGCCTGCAGAGCTGCGTTGGATTTCTCTGGTGCCTGTCATTAGGTTTTGTGTGTGTGCATTGCAGAAGGAGTGTTAGTTAGCATGCATCTGTGTGTGTGTGTAAAGATTTCATTGCAGGATGAAGTTATTAGGTGTGCATGGCACAATAAAATGGGCATGTATGTACATGCAGGGAAGGTGTTGGTGCATATATGTTTCTCTACATGTAGAGGCGCCTTGATATTTAACAGGGTGCCAAGCAATCCCAATCCCTGTTGGTCTCCATGACAGCTGCAGATAGCATCATTTGAAAGCCATCCTTGCTGTTTCTATTGCTTATCCCTCTTGTCAGGAGCATATTTGTGCATAACAAATATAGGAACAAAAACATACATGTGATCTTTTTGTAACTGGTGAGAATTTGTGGGTTAGATCTTGCTATATTAGTTCAGTAGGGGAGCCTGAGGAATTTCAGTCATTAAAATATCTAAGAAAGATGATTAGAACTGGACAGTTTATCCTCACAGCAAGTGAGCTCAGCTGTGTTTTTAAAATTAAGATATTTAGGTTGCTTGTGGAGTGTGTGTGTGTTTGTGTGTGTGTGTGTGTGTGTGTGTGTGTGTGTATGTGTTTGAACAGTGCACCTGCATTGGGAGACGATGTGCAGAATATCTCTGTGGACACATGCACTTGTAGACTACGCTGAGTTATGCTATAGGCAGGATCTTTCTCCTGCCTCTCCAAGACCCTGCAGTCATGTTCTGCAAATTATTACTCCTTTTCTGGTAAACACAATGCAGTTAAGTCCAAGTAATTGATATAATCCTACACAAATGCCCCAATCAAGTTTACCACCAGTCTGTGGATGTCAAACTTTGGTATTTCCAGTCAAATATGTGATTGCATTTCTGTGGGGCAACAGGAATTGCCATTTTATTCAGGCTTCCATTGAATACAGACAGGGGAGAATTTCTTCAGATAACTATAGAGTGCTGCAGCAGAGCAGTACAGTACTGTTCCAGTTTTTTTTTTCCCTTTTTGCTACCAAGCTGATTACTCCTTTTAGCATGTTAACTGTTTCCAAGCTAACTGCATTATGATTCTTTGTGAAATTCTTTAAATAGAGCCTTTTGGATATACAGTTCTGTCAATTTTCTGCTTCATCTGTTTTACTTTGATATAGCTGTTGCTATGTTTTATCATCATCCATCATCCACCCTCAAGGTGGTGCAGTGGGATCAGCCCCTCAGCTGATGTAGACTGGCATTGACTTCAGCCCTGCTATGTTGATTGCCACTAGAGGAGGTTCAGTTTTGCTGCATGGATTTTTTTCAGAGGCACACATGGAAAATAGCTGTGTCCCTTTATTTTCTAACCCACAGGCTGGAGCAAGAGCAGTAATCATACAGGAAGCTAATGGGAGATCAGGGCACAGAAATTTAATGGCAGAGACATTTAAAATGACAGCTTTTTCAGCTAAAATCACAGCCAGACTTAAGGTCTGTAATGCTGTGGGTGAGGACGAGCATCAGGATATGATAAAATCTACACTACCTCTCCATTCAGTGTCATCACTTGTCACCAGAGGAAAACTGTGCTGCTTTTACAGGAGTGGTCATGGTGACTGCTGCTCTATGAGCTGCCTGTACCACCAAGCAATGTCTGCTGGGAGACATGAATGAGGTGATAGCAGAGGTCTAACTGGGACTGCAGATTTCATCCTCATTGCTGCTAGAACCTTCCTAAAATTAAAATAATAAACATGTTCGAAAATGGAGATAGAGGCACTGGCTGGTAGTGATTCTGTTTCTCTTTTGAGACAGATGAAGAAAACTGCATATTTTTTTCATACACGATTCAGTGTTCTGGTTGCTTAGTGAACTGCTGACCAACATTTTATTTCACCTGCCAGTTTGATTTGCTCATTTGAAAAACTGCATATCCCCCTGCCACCTCCCTAGTGCTCTCCCTCACCTCACCCTGCGTGTCCTCAGCCTCTCTGAGGCAGGGGCTCAGAGTCTGATATGAATATAGTCCCTCAGTCTGATATGGCTCCCCAGTCTGACACACCAGACCAAAATAAGTGCATCTATTTTCCCTCAGAGTGCTAAGTAGAACATGATTCATTTCCTGAATTATGTGGATTTCCTCTAATTCTGTGCAAGGCATACATCCAGGTTAAAATACCAGGCTTTCCTAGGAAGCCCCTGTATTTACTCAAAATGCTGTGAGACTGTAGATGTCCATATAGAGTGTAAGGATTTCATATCAGTGTTCATTAAAATCTGCTGTGAAGAAACCTTTGAAAATGAAATCTGGGTTAATCCTGTGTCTGCAGTATCTAGGTTGATCCCACAAGCATAACAGCTTGAATTCACACAAAGACATTCATGCCAGTATTCAGTGGGTTTGCTTCATTTTTGTGCAATGTCAGAGTAATTTTCTTTTTAAAATGCACTGTGTAAAATAGCATGTTTGGTTACCTAATAAAGGTTCTGGAAGCTACAGGGTTTCTGTTAATTTCAGAAAATTTTATTCACATTGGAAAATATCTAATAGAAATAATTTATTGCAAATGTTTATGCTGATTACCTGCAGTTTTCAAGTTGCTGATGCCAATTAGACCCCTGACGAAATGACTTTACTACCAGTTCGTTTGTTTTTCCCTTGTTACTTATCTGGCTGAAAATAAGGCAGCAGCAGGTGCTGTCCCACTGCTTTAGGCAGAGCAGCCCAGCCAACACTAGACCGAGTAAAAGTCAGCAGTGAATGTGAACAAGGCGTTGGCAACACATGTTGCAAAGGCTCCTGAACATGAGGCCAGGGCTGAGGACATCAGAACAAAAGTGTGGCTCAGCTGTTAATGGTCTGTGTGAGATTCAGAGTTGATCAAGTGAAACCTTTCAAATGTGAAAATCTGGAGTAGGAGAGAGTCTAGGGTCGTATAGGCTCTAAAAGCTGAATTCCCTTTTGCTGACAGTGAAACCATATCCTCTCTTCTGTGAATCACTGCAAAGTAAGGACATTGCGGGGCACAGAATGCCTGTGTAGTACCTTGGGGCCATTGGGCCTCTCTGTTGAAAGCAGGAGGCGTATTTGTCTACATTACAATCAGATGCCTTCACTGGAAAGGCCCTAGGTTGGAACAGGTATAAAGATGCTTTGAAGCCCCATTTTTTGAGATTGAATATGCTCTTTTGCTCTAATAAGAGTCAATTTACAACAGCGCACCTAACCTCACCTCTCCTCCAGTCCTTAATATGAAAATTATATTTTTTTCTTCCATATAACACAAGACTGGCAGATAGAGTTGTAATTTTGTTGTTGTTTAACAATAGATAGAGTTTAAACTTCATGCCTCCGCAATTTCTTGGTCATATGCCTACAAAAGGGGAATCCTTGTCCATGGGAACTGGAGGTGTTACCAGCTTCTATAGTTTAAAATCAGAGAAGTGGCCAAAATTCGCCTTACACCAAACATACTTTGTGCAGTATTCATCAAAATTATTTGGTTTCTAGAGAAAGACTGAAATTTATTTTGATTGATTAGTTGAACTGGGGAATACAACCTACAAGGAACAACTTCTTTTAAGAATTTGTTCAGCTAGGCAGCAGTTGGGCTGACCTGTTTTAACATAGATGTTTGCTGTCGGAACCCAGGACATCTCTCTGGATGTCCTGGATGTCTCAAAGCCCTGGCAGGGGCTCGGAAACCCTGGCAGGAAGCCAAAGACACCTGGAAATTCAATCTTAATTCATGGAGCAAATTGCCAACCTGATATGAAGAATTACAGGCCACAAAAGTTTAAGTAGCACAGTAGTAGGAATCACAGGGTGAAGGGAAAAATTTTGGAGCACTGTAGAGGGGGGTTTTGAACCTTGTACAGGGGGGTTTGAAATTCTGTACATGGGGGTCAGGAGTCCCAAGATGGAGGGATTTGGGCGTGCCCTGTCCTTCTTCTTTCTTCTCTTTGGCATCCATGTTCAGGATGATGTTGGCATGTGTGGATTGGTTCATGGTGAAGGTGCACTTGCCAACAAGGGTGAAAAGTATTGGAAATTGAAGGTAAATATCTAATACATAGTTTTTACTATAAAAGAGACAACTGCCCTGTGGGCGGGAGAGAGTGCCCTTGGCTGTCTTGCTGATCAGACCTCGTCTGGACAGACAGAAAAACTTTGTAGATAAGGAACAATAAACTCAACTAAAGACCGAAAAGCAAGAGTCCAGACTCCTTCTTCGGGAGCGCGGCCTGCCCAGAACCACCTTTTCCTGTGCTGGGGCAGAGACAAGTAACAGCCGACCCCAACAGTTTGCTATTTCAAATAAACTCCAGAATAGTAGAATTTCTTCCAAACTCCAGAATTTCTTCCAAAATCTGACTGCCTCTGTAGTTAGTTGAACAGAATTTCTGTTATCGTTTACTGTAGCTCTGTTTGGTGGCAAATGGTAATAAACAAAACAACCAAAACCTCCTAATTGAATGGAAAATTACTTCTATGCTGTTACTTTAAGTATTACAATTACAATACATCCATTTTCCAGAGTTATATTAGTTCTGGATTGGTGTAAATATTAGGGACCTATTTCTTTTAACACCTGCTTCTGGAAGACTGCAGTTCAAGAGCACAATCTAAAACATAATTGCATTTTTACTCTCAAGAAAAGGAAAGCC